AAGGGCTGCTGTGGACTGGCTGCCGCTGCAACAATTGTTCATGTGCCTGCCAGCTGCTAGTGGCGAGCGGGCAGACGCTTTGCGGCTTCTGTGACGTGTGCGATTGACAGCATTTGTCAGTCTGGTGAGTGATTTTTGGCACTCCCCCCTCCCCAAAAAAGCTCAACAACTCTGGGCCATCTCCCCCCATTTTCTTAATTTGGAGCCCCCCAAAACAGGGGTTGTCTTATACATGGGTGTGTGTTATGCACGAAAAAATACGGTAAATGGTGTTAGATGAATATTGTAGTGATGGGATCTCTGAAATGGAAACATAACATGTTAAAATTCTGCCCCAGGGTAGAGTTTCTTATGTACCTTCCCCCACCCGATCAACATCTCCCATGTCCTTTCCATCACCCTGCCCCATGCTAGCAAATGTTTTTCGGGTTTTGTGTTAGTCAGCGGGCAACTCTGTCTCGATCGGCAGTCCCCTCTTCCATCTCCTCTAGGCTAACATTTGCTAGGCAGCACAATTCAAGTTTAGAACAAGGATAAGTTGCCATTATTTCTCTCTTGTCTTTTTCTTTTCCATCCCCGCTTGACCTTTTCAAGATATCAATTTATAACCATCTGAATTTTTACAAATTGAACGGGCTATGAAGAAGACCAAGGCCAGGTCCCCAAAGACCAAGGCCAGGTTCTCATTCTAAATTCAATGCATGATTTAAAGCATGCATCCCTAAACTCGGCACTCCAGACATTTTGGGACTACAATTCCCATCATCCCTGACCACTAGTCCTGTTAGCTAGGGATGATGGGAGCTGTAGTCCCAAAACATCTGGAGGGCCGAGTTTGGGGATGCCTGATTTAAAGCAATATTGAGTCCCATTATGGATATATAATCCCTTCTGTCCTCTACATTGTAATAAAAGTGAAACAAGATTACACAGACACAGACAGACACACACACACACACACACACACACACGTGTGTGTGTGTGTGACTGATTCTTTTATCTTATGCACTGCCCCCTCCCTTCCCTCTCTGATGCCGAATATTAATATTCCGGCTACACAGGAAATTCCTAACCCTTGACAATCTCTTCGTCTCATCTCAAAATGGGACAAGGCTTGAGATCGTCAGACTGGAAACGTTGTGATTTGTTGCTGTTATCCAAAAATAACCAGAACATAAAAATCCAGTGTGGAGTCCAAATTATCCCAAAATCCACATTAAGGCCAAATCTTTATTTGGCCAACCAAAATGTAAAAAGAAAAGAAAGAAAGAAAGAAAGAAAGAAAAGAAAATCATTTGCAAGCTTTTGAGTTTCTTCAGAACTATTCATCTGACTAGATGATAAGCAAAGCAAAATAAAAATAAAATTGGGGTACCCTTCTCTGTATTGTAAGAGTCTTACTGTGCAATGATGTTGTACAGTGTCTTCCCAGAAGTACACTATGTTGAATTCAATGGGGCTTACTTCAAGCTAAATTGTGTTAGGCTTGCCCTGTTAAGATGGAGGGTGAGAGGAAGCAGCAGACATTCAGATGAGGCTGTGTTAGGTTCTGTGTAGATATCAGATCACTTGGAAAGCAAAAAAAAATAGGGAAATGATGTAGCATCTGCTTCACATGTAGAAGGTCCTGGGTTCATTCCTTGGCATCTACAAGCAGGGAGGACCCCCGTCCATCAATGTAGACAATAAGCGAGATGGATCAATGGACCAGTGGCTTAACTCCATCTTTAAGCGTAACACAAAGGTTCCTTTGTAGATAGAGGGAAAGTAAATCATTGCATAGTCCTTTTATTAGCAAAGGTGTAAAACACTGAGCCTTGAGCTTGCCAATCGGAAGGTCGCAGTTTGAATCCCCGCGACGGGGTGAGCTCCTGTTGCTCGGTCCCTGCTCCTGCCAACCTAGCAGTTCGAAAGCACGTCAAAGTGCAAGTAGATAAATAGGTACCGCTCCGGCGGGAACGTAAATGGCGTTTCCGTGCACTGCTTTGGTATCGCTAGAAGCAGCTTAGTCATGCTGGCCACATGACCTGGAAAAACTGTCTGTGGGCAAACATCGGCTCCCTTGGCCAGGAAAGCAAGATGAGCGCCGCAACCCCAGAGTTGTTCGCCACTGGACTGAACTGTCAGGGGTCCTTTAACTTTACCTTAGATATTAATTTTAAGTGAAATGTCAGTTGAAGCCAAAATTGGGTAGCTTTAGAGATCAGCTAGGGACTGCGGGTGGCGCTGTGGGTTAAAAGAGCCTAGGACTTGCCAATCAGAAGGTTGGCGGCTCAAATCCCCGCAACGGGGTGAGCTCCTGTTGCTCGGTCCCTGCTCCTGCCAACCTAGCAGTTCGAAAGCACGTCAAAGTGGAAGTAGATAAATAATTAACGCTCCCGTGGGAAGGTAAACAGCGTTTCCGTGCGCTGCTCTGGTATCGCCAGAAGCGGCTTAGTCATGCTGACCATATGGCCCGGAAGCTGTACGCCGGCTCCCTCGGCCAATAAAGCGAGATGAGCGCCGCAACCCCTGAGTTGGCCACGACTGGACCTAATGGTCAGGGGTCCCTTTACCTTTACAGATCAGTTGGAGGGAATGTTCTCTCTGAGAAGTAAGTCCCATCCCATCGTCACGTCCCTAGGAAGTGGAGGTGGGGAAATTTGTTCCAACAGTAAGGCGTGTTATTAGTGACACTTTTCCCGATCTTTGGAACACAGAATTTCAAAGAACCAAGGTTCTGATCACAGAATCCTGATGCGGACACGACTGTTAACCCTGGTTAGCGCTCTCTGTGGTTTGTTGCCTTGACCCTGGTTAAGTGTCAGGGACTAGGGGTCAGATTCCTCTTTTGTCAGGTAATGGAGTCCAGGACTCCAAACCTGAAGGAGAAGATCGTGCACTGCTAAGAGGTTCTTATGAGGTAAATACTATACCAATTTTTAAAAAGTAAACAAACACCTAAATAGTTTCCAAACGGTACAGCTGGGTCAGCTTGACATGAGTTACAGAGATGGCACGCAAACTCTTCCTTGGGCAAAGCTACAGATCATCCTTATAAGGTCTCCAAAGTCAACAGCCTTTCTTTGCCTTTTGCAGAAGAGCCCCCATCCTTCTGAGAAACGTGTCAAACAAGTATATGGAGCATGTTTTTCATCCCTGCTTAATCTTGGGGATAGAAATCCCTACGGAGACTTGTCTGCAAATTCTAAAATAACCTGTTATTTCCACCGAAGCTGCCGGCATGTGCTGCTCAAGGCTTTTTGGAAATTAAAAGAGTCGGGAAGCAGGGGGAGGAGAGAAAGGAGCTGTGTTTACTTTTAATTTTGTTTTAAGACACTTGGCCAGAGAGTTCATGATGTGACTTGGAAACTATATCGAATCATGATTTATGGTCGGGCTGTTATTTTATAAAGGGCAAAGACAAGCCAGGCACAGCTGCCTGCCTGTTCCTCGGTTTGCACCCTGCATGCCAATAACCTGCAGTCTATCTTAACCCTTTTCATTGTTGCTTTTCTCTGTGCGTGTGTTTGTGTGTGCACCCGCGTGTGTGCACGCATGCGGCCTGTGGCCTGCCGGAGAGCTTGATTGATAGGACATGTAGAATGACCAGGCTCACCTTGTCTGCTTGGTGAACTTGTTTCATGTTGGGAAAAGGTTGCAAGCCCTACAATCAAATGAATCAGCCAATTTTGGCTAAAGCTGCTGTGGGTTCTGCCAAGGTGGGCTGAAGGAAAACAGCTTCCTGCAGCTCTACAGTAGCATCCTTTGGACATGCATAGAAAACTAGAGTTGAAAGGGGGACCTTGAGGATCATTTAGTCCAACCCCCTGCAAATATGTGGCTGTCCCGTGCAGGGATCGAACCTGCAACCTTGGTGTTATCAGCACCACACTCTAATCAACTCTTGGATTATACAGTGGTACCTCGGGTTACATACGCTTCAGGTTACAGACTCCACTAACCCAGAAATATTACTTCGGGTTAAGAACTTTGCTTCAGGATGAGAACAGAAATCAGGCGGCGGCGGCAGCGCAGTAACAGCGGGAGGCCCCTTTAGCTAAAGTGGTCTTCAAGTTAAGAACAGTTTCAGGTGAAGAACGGACCTCCGGAACGAATTAAGTACGTAACCAGAGGTACCACTGTACTGGCAAATCTGGGGCAAGCAACAATATATGACTGCATTCGCACTGCCGGATCCACACAACCTGCAGCTTAACTCACACAAGGATATGAAGCTGCCCCTGTACAAAGGACCAAGCTAGATGTCACGTCAGATGTGTCTTGACCCTGGAGAACACACCAAGGAGACGATCAGGATAAAGTAGAGCAGTGTGTGTACATGCATGGGGGACATTAAATTTGCTCCATCCATCCCTACCTCACCTGTAGCATTCAGCTGACTGCACAACTTGTGTCCTGCTCATCACCCAAAGAGCTTCCCCTGCCCAATCCATATCAATGGTGGCTGATGGCAAGGATGGGGAACCTTACTCTATGATGGGCAGGAGTCAAGTTGCACATTTCGCAAAACATACAGGTAAACATAGCACCAGGAGAATTGACTCTTGTGCTGAGTATCTGCATGTATGAAAGCAATAAGGAGGGCTATTGTCTATTTGTTGGTACACCCCCTTCAGTTACTAAACATTTGGTATGTTTGCACCAGGAAAAGAAGTGTTTGTCATCTTTGTTCATCTGCGAAAACACACACACACACACACACAATGCTTCTGTAAATCCTGTGAATTGTATTGGCAAGGTATACATTTCCTCTTTCAGTGGTATATGAGAGCGGCGAGATATGCAGTATTTATTTTAAGAATGTATGCAGCACATCCTTTCCCAAAAATGGATTTCAGGGCATTGTACGTAACAAATTTTAAATCTCCAGCACAGTGTTGAATATGGCATAAATGAGGGCAAACATTGCAGTGCAGAGATCACCTTGGTTTGGGTTCTGATTTAGCCATTTCCTGACTTTCTTTTTTGCTGAAGCTTCACTCTTTCTCTACTTCCAGTCTTCGGGCACCAGTATTACAGTTGACATTGCAGTCATGGGAGAGGCTCATGGACTCATTACAGACCTCCTGGCAGATCCTTCCTTACCACCAAATGTCTGCACCTCCCTTCGGGCAGTGAGCAACCTGCTCAACACACAGCTAACCTTCCAAGCCATCCACAAACCGAGGATCAACCCTTTGGCATCTTTCAATGAGAACTACACCTGTTCTGACTCAGAGGAATGCTCAGAGAAGGGAGAAAAGCTGACTATTCCCAAGGTGAGCATCGCTCTTTCAGGTTGTTGGTTTTTCTTTTCCTCAGGGGTTAATTCTGTGACTGTAAGAAAATACATTCTGTGTGAAATAGATGCTTCAGGGTGCAGCATGCACAGTCCCCTCACCTTTTATAGTCGCGACAACCCTGTGAGATATATTAGGCTGAAAGACAAGGGCTGGCCTAAAGTCACCCAATCACCTTGTTATTTGCGGCTGAGTCAGAATTTGAACCCAGGTTTCACTAATATAAGTCCAACACTCACACCACTACTCCACAAGGGCTCACAAGCAAGCCCAAGGCCACCCCGAGTGCTGTTGACTATCAGTCAGTAGTGTAATGAGAAATTCAGACGTGCAGGGTCCCTTTGTAATAGTCACAGCCACTCAACCCCCTTCTAAGTTTATACAGTAATCTTGTAATTATACAAGCTACAAGAAGAAGCTAACAGAATACTCATTTAAAAATAATTCTTTCCCTCTCCTCCCCACCCCATTCACAATGTTTTCTTTGCATACTTACTGCCAGTAACTTCTGGCGATCATGAACAAAATACTACCCAGTTGAAAAGTCTTCCTGTCTTATCCTTAGCGCTTCCGGAAAAGTCTGCCCCCAGGTCTTTTGCGACGAGTGTCGTCCACTTGGACAACAACCACATCTGCAACTGGTTTGCCCACTTTGGAGCCAGCTCCAGTGAGAAGAGACCGCAGTGCTAGCATCAAACTTCATGATACTTCATCATCCGGGTGAGGAAATAATTGTGTGTAGGGGGGGGGGTGGTTCGATGACAAAAAGTCCTGTGATTCTCTGTAGCATCTGAGAACCTTAAGAGTGTTGACTTCTTCCTGGAAACAGTAGATGTTTTGGATTGGATTATGACTTGTCTTTTGATGGTGTAATCACAAAGACTAAGACCACCGTTCTCGTAGATCTCCTGCTCTGGGATCATGCCAAGGTCCCACAGAGATTCCTAATTGGACTTGAAGGAGATTATCAACAGGGCAGAAACTAACTAAAAACATATTCTGCAGGACCTTGGACAGAAACTAACTAGCTTAGATGTTGCTCCAGGAAAGGTGAAAAGTTGAGTCAAGCCCTCAAGTGCTGCTGCAGTTCCTTTTTCCGTCCCTGGCCTTGTCTCCCAGATAATCAGTAAAGGAGGGAATTATTCAAATGACTGATGACACCAGAGAGTAAATAACCCCACTGTATATCTAAGAAAGTGAAACATGGAAATAAAAAGGGTAGTAAAAACCATTGGATAATCTCTCATGGACAATTTCATAAAATTGAAAAATCTTAACCAATTAAATGAGCATTCAGTTATCACACTTTAAATTGATTCATCCATCAAATGTTGCTTTATAAGTGTCAGATCTGATTGAAAAGGATATCTTTAGCCTGCAGTTGAGGGATTAATTATGCTTTTTCGGCATATAATGAAAAGGAACAGATGCTATTCTCAGATTGGGAATGGAAATCCTTTTCTCCAAAAAAAAAAAAAGGTTAACCAATCACCTCTAAAATTCTTTACTCCCACGCATGCATCTAAGTAGTGCTCTCACGCTTTTAAAACATTGAGTCTTAGCCATTGCCTTGACCCATTCCACAATTGGGAAGCGATATCAGATAGGTAGAGGAGGAGTGGGAGAGCTGGAGAAGAGCAATGGATTGCCAATCCAGTTCGGCCAGAGGTGCATGATCCAAAACTTGCAGGGGTTAATATCTATGACAGCAGCAGAGGAGCAAGAACACCAGGCACAGAGGCATAATATCAGGAATAGGTTGGAGGCAAGAGTGTATTTCTCAGTGTTTTTAATTGGACATTCATTGGCAGACAAGGGGCATTAGCCAGCTGCATTTGGTATCCATAGGTACATCTGTTCATCTAGTCTTCCTCCTTTGAACATTATGGAGAACTTATGCAATCATTTGGGGAAGCAACTGTGGAATTTCCCCTGCCACTCCCCCCCCTTCCCCAAAAAGTAGCTTACCTTAGTCAGAGATAGCACTGGTCTTTCACAAAACAACATCATGAATTATATGTCCATGGGATAGCAATGATAGACTCCTAAGTCAAAAATCTTGGTGTGCACTTATAATGGGTGGAATAGAATTGTGGTGGTGAAACTCACTGGCCATTGTGAGAAGCAGGGTGTTGATGGGCTAGGCAGGGCTCTTCCTGGGTTCCTGGAGATGGCGAGCCCCACTCTATACTAACACCTCTGGTCCAAGCAGAAACAGCTGATTATAACCCCTCGGTTGAACTCTGCTCTCTTTTCACAGCTCCGACGCGTGGAACAATTCCCTCCTGATGAACCTCACCAAAAGCAGGTCGTTCTCCGCCTCCTATGCAATGTCTGCTGCAAACCATCTGAATTCCAAGCGGCCAAGTCGGCAAGGTTGGTTAGCTCTTGGGCATACAGATGTGCTGTGAGGTTATGGGTTAGGGATGTTCTCTTAAGTGTGCTGTGTTTAAACTCACTCAGTGGGGAACAGCCAAGATTGTGTTTCTTACCTAGCTGCGCTAAATTTGCACCTGTAGCACAGACTGCGCTTTGAATTGAACCACAGGTGGAAGACCAGAAGTATTGGCTGTGATTGCTGACTTACTCCCCTGCAAGCTGGATTGGCAAAGAGCTCTTTCACATCCTATGTTAAGGACCGTAGCTTGTTGGTAGAGCATCTGCTTTCCATGCAGAAGGTTCCAGGTTCTATCTCTGACATCTCCAGAGTAGGGCTGGGAATACCCCCTACCTGAAACCCTGGGAAGATGCTGCCAGTCAGTGTAGTCAATTCTGAGCCAGATGAACCCAATGGTCCGGCTTCCTATGGTCCCCAGCATGAACTGCAAGAGGGGATTAGCAGAGACCTTCCATTCTTTTGGATCTCAGGAGCAATGCAGCAGACAAGCATCTCTCTGCATTTTTGTTTTAAATTGAAGACAACCAAAGGAAGCCTCTAGATTTCATCAGAGCAGCAGCAGGCCGGGAAGAAGGGAAGGAAGAGCAGAAAAACCCTTTCTCTCCAGTGCATTTGTGTGTTTAAAAAACCAGCAATACCTTTTGGAAATGCAGCCAATGGGAGAGTGATTTTGATCTGAAAAAGTACCCTGCAGGGAAGGTTTAAACACCTCCTACCTGCCCCCAGCTTCTCAAATTTGAGAGGGGAGCTCCCCCTGAAGATTCACAACAAGTTTTTAAAATGTTTTGCGCACTAGTTTGCTACCTTTAGATCTCACCCTTTTCCAAAGAAGCCCAAGACAACCGCACATTGTCAGTGGCAGATTTCGGGCTCTTAGGTTTCAGCGGCGCCCTGTGCTATGTGAATATTTGGCAGCACCCTGAAACTGCTGCTGACTCTGTCTCCCCCCCTGCTCCATGAATGTGTGTGTTGGGTCCCTAAGCATGCCAGCTAATGCAATTCCCATTTTGAGCTCATCCTACTAGCATATGGAGTATTTAAAGCTGTGATTGGAACTTCTGCCCTGTCCTGGCTTACCGTCTTGTGCATTGTAAGAACTTCCAATGAAATCTCTGTCGGAGAAGGTTTGGTCTGCCTGAAGCAAGTGGAACCTGGGAGAGACCAGGGTTCAAATCCCTGCTCAGCCATGAAGATCACTCTGACCTAGAGCCAGTCACAGTCTCTCAGCCTTACCTACCTCGCAGAAGGTCCTTTACCTTTTAGGGAGCGGGTGGCCCTGTGGTTTAAACCACTGAGCCTCTTGGGCTTGCTGATCAGAAGGTCGGCAGTTCAAATCCATGCGATAGGGTGAGCTTCCGTTGTTCTGTCCCAGCTCCTGCCAACCTAGCAGTTTGAAAGCACACTAGTGCAAGTAGATAGATAGGTACCACTGCAGCAGGAAGGTAAATGGTGTTGCCGGGAGCTCTGGTTTCTGTCATGGTGTTCCGTTGTGCCAGAAGGGGTTTAGTCATACTGGCCACATGACCCGGAAAGCTGTCTGTGGACAAACGCTGGCTCCCTTGGTCTGAAAAGTGAGATGAGTGCCACAACCCCATAGTCGCCTTTGACTGGACTTAACTGTCCAGGGTTCCTTTACCTTTTACCTTTTATACCTCAGAGTTGCTGTGAGGATAAAATGGGGGGGGGAGGAGCACCAGCCTTGCTTGAGCTCCTTGGAGAAAAGATGGAATATAAATGCTTTAAATGCATACCCCTTTATTTTCTTGTCATTCTTCCTAATAGGTATCCCACCAAATATTTCACCTCTTACCTCCCCAAGCCATTCGCCCATCCATGGCACTCCAGCCAGCAGCCCCATCAGCAAGACCTCCAGCGAACAATTCCCCGAGTCGACGGTCACTGCCACTAAGCAAACGCTGAAGCCCCATAGGGCCTTGGGTTGTACCCAGAGTGCCCCTAACCTTTCGGAGCCTGTCGTGGCCACGCCTGTCATTTGCAGCAGGTAAGATGCTTCTCTGACACTTGTTGGAACCTTTTTTCGTTTCCCTCTCCCCACCCTCGTCCTCAAGGCTCTGTTCTGCACAACGCAATCGTTTTATCCGTAACCCAATATGTGTGTGTGTTGGTGGGGTGGGAGAATTGCAGCTGTGATGACTTTGCCCGTTTCCACTGTACCGAAGGGGACCGTGGCTCAGCTTGCGTGTGCAAAGTCCTGGGGTTCCTGGATTGCCCCCCTAAAGTATTTGAAGAGTTGAGCTAAGACTCTACGTGTTGTTTCGGCTCACCCCAGCTACATCAGGTCCCTCAGACAATATCAAGTCGCTTTGGCCATCGCCAGGCGGACTTGCCTTTCTGTTGCGTCCTATATTTTGACTTCTTGGAACTAGATCCATGGCAACATCCAAAAAAGAAAACAAAGGGTTCCAAGAAACAGGCTGTTTTGGTCTTGCTTAAAAGCTCAGTGGCAATAGGTTGTGTTTGCTTAATGCTATTATGTAACACTCCTAATTGTGTCCAGGTTTGAGTTTTTGCTTTTTAAAAATTGCACTTTTTTAAACTTCTACCCGCGAAAGTTGTGTGGCGTTCCAGCAGGCTCATTTCTCGCTGCGTACTCCGGTCTCTCTCCATTGTGTTATTTTGGTGGGAAAGAAAGTCAGAAGGGTGTTATTTTAAGCCATGCCCAGCAGCCAGCATACATGAGTTTATATTATCTTCACTGCAACGGCATTGTCTAGTTTAAAATATCAACAATTCTCACATATTATAGGCATAATAATAATAATAATTTACTATTTATACCCCACCCATCTGGCTGAGTTTCCCCGGCCAATCGAGTGTTAAAAACAATACAGCATTAAATATTAAAAACTTCCCTAAACAGGGCTGCCTTCAGATGTCTTTTAAAGATAAGATAGCTGCTTATTGCCTTGACATCTGATGGGAGGGCGTTCCACAGGGTGGGCGCCACTACCGAGAAGGCCCTCTGTCTGGTTCCCAGTAACCTCACTTCTCACAGTGAGGGAACCACTAGAAGGCCCTCCGCGCTGGATCTCAGTGTCCGGGCTGATGGGGGTGGAGATGCTCCTTCAGGTATACTGGACCGAGGCCGTTTAGGGCTTTAAAGGTCAGCACCAACACTTTGAATTGAATTATATGTTTGAGAACATAAGAATATCTTGCTGGGTCCCATCTAGTCCAGCATCCTGTTCTCACAGTGGCCAACCCGATGCCTGTGGGAAACTGGCAAGCATAAGAGCTCTTTCCCCTCCTGTGGTTTCCAACATCTAGGATTTGGAAACATTATTGTCTCCAGCTGTAGATGCAGAGCATAGCCATCGTGGCTAGTAGCCATTGATAGTCCTCTCCTCGGCGAATCTGTCCAATCCATTTTTAAAGATAGATGACCATCTGTCATGGATGCTTGAGCTGAGATTCCTGCATTGCAAGGGGGTTGGACTAGATGGCCCTCGGGTTCCCTTCCAATTCTACAATTCCATTATTCCATGAAGACCATCTAAGGTCATGGCAATCATGTGGGAGTGAGTTCCGTAGTTTTAACCCTGTGCTGTGTGGTGAAGTGCTTTTTTTTTAGCTTCCCTGAATCTTCCAGTCTTCAGCTGCATTGGATACAGTTAAACCTCAGTTCCCAATCGCCTCCATTTTGAAACGTTTCAGCTCCCAAACGCTGAAAACCCGGAAGTAACTGCTTCGGTTTTCGAACAGTTTTCGGAAGCCGAACAGCTTCTGAGCCGCGTTTTTCATTTTTTTCCCATTGGCTTTGCAACCAGCCCATTGATCCTAAGTTTTCAAACTTTTCGGAAACCAAACAATCTTCTGGAATGGATTAAGTTTGAAAACCGAGGTTCCACTGTATAACATTATGCACATATTTGATCCAGGTTTCCTAAAGGAACCAGTGCAGAAAAAGATAACCTACAACAATTTATGTAATGGTATTAAAATAACTATGCATTAATATTTGTAGTTATGCTATAGAAATATAGTTCTGCATGGGACCTTATATGTGTTATACATATTTTTGCACATAATTATTTGGGCTTTAAAAAAAATGCACAAGCAGCTCAGACATAAATGAGTGCTCAGTGCAAGAGTTTAATGCAGGTGAACATCAACAGACTGGTTTCCTTGTAAGGTAAAGGTAAAGGTACCCCTGCCATACGGGCCAGTCTTGACAGACTCTAGGGTTGTGCGCCCATCTCACTTAAGAGGCCGGGGCCAGCGCTGTCCGGAGACACTTCCGGGTCACGTGGCCAGCGTGACGAAGCTGCATCTGGCGAGCCAGCTCAGCACACGGAACGCCGTTTACCTTCCCGCTAGTAAGCGGTCCCTATTTATCTACTTGCACCCGGGGGTGCTTTCGAACTGCTAGGTTGGCAGGCGGTTTCCTTGTATGAATACACTTAAAACGGATTCCTATTCCATTCCTATTTCACGCACCCAGCTCTCCGCATGACAGGGCACAGTCCTTTGCAAGCTGTGCAAAGCAGGCAACTGCTACGTATTTTCACCCCTCTATGTCTGTCCTTTGACCTGTGCTCTAGCTGCGGCAGACCGTATAACCCAACAGACCCCGCCGAAGGATCTCTGAGCAGACGGGAAGGCGGAACGCACACCCTGAACAGAACAGGTGGGCAAGTTGTGTCTGAAGTTAAGAGGGAAGAAGAATCACTAAAATTGACAATTTATTGCCACTGCTGTTTGTTTTTATCCAAGCATTTGTCACTTGCGTTTCAAGACCCCTTATGTTGAATAATAACACCTGGACAGAATATATTAGGTTAATGGGCAAATTTAGGCCACAACTGTATTGGTTACAGAATGTGAGTGGTATAGGCACTGGAATTGAACCAACTATATCTGACTCCTGCCCGCCATGCAGGTAGTCCCATAAGGATCAACTACCAATAGGGGGAGCCCTGTTGATGTACATCAACTAGAGCTCCCCCAGGGTCCCCAGTGGGGTCATGGCATGGCCCTAGCCCATACCCGGGCTTCGGACAGGACCCACATCCCTGGATCCCTTTAACGGAATACCCTTAAAATGGAGGGGCAAGTGATGGCCACTCCTACCCTCCCTCAGACCAGGTTTTACCAATCCCTAACCGCCGCTCGAGCCAAAGGCTCGCTGCACACACAGCATATGTGTGTTTTGTGTGTATACACACACACACACACACACACACACACACAAATATATACAGTGGATGCTTGGGTTGCGAACGTGATCCGTGCGGGATGCATGTTCGCAACCCAAAGCGTTCGCAACCCACGTCTGCTCATGTGCAGGTTACGATTCGGTGCTTCTGCGCATGCGCAAAGCACAATTTAGCGCTTCTGCGCATGCGCGGCCACCAAAACCCGGAAGTAACCCGTTCCGGTACTTCCAAGTTTCAGCGGTCCCTAACCCCAAAAAACGCAACCTGTAACCCGAGGTATGACTGTATATATAAAGGTAAAGGTACCCCTGCCCGTACGGGCCAGTCTTGCCAGACTCTAGGGTTGTGCGCTCATCTCACTCTATAGGCCGGGAGCCAGCGCTGTCCGCAGACACTTCCGGGTCACGTGGCCAGCGTGACAAGCTGCATCTGGCGAGCCAGCGCAGCACACGGAACGCCGTTTACCTTCCCGCTGGTAAGCGGTCCCTATTTATCTACTTGCACCCGAAGGTACTTTCGAACTGCTAGGTTGGCAGGTGCTGGGACCGAACGACGGGAGCGCACCCCGCCGCGGGGATTCGAACCGCCGACCTTTCGATCAGCAAGTCCTAGACGCTGAGGCTTTAACCCACAGCGCCACCCGCGTCCTATGACTGTATATATATATATCAGCAAATTTTAGTAAATCAAATTAGAGTGGGTCTCATTCATATATGTAGATAGTAATTTTAAATTGCTGTAACTTCTCCTGGGATCTTATCCCAAAAGTACAATTCCCAGAGTTTTTTGTGTACAGTGGTACCTCAGATTAAGTACTTAATTTGTTCCGGAGGTCCGTTCTTAACCTGAAACTGTTCTTAACCTGAAGCACCACTTTAGCTAATGGGGCCTCCTGCTGCCGCCGCACCACCGGAGCCCGATTTCTGTTCTTATCCTGAAGCAAAGTTCTTAACCTGAAGCACTATTTTTGGGTTAGCGGAGTGTGTAACCTGAAGCGGATGTAACCCAAGGTACCACTGTACCTTTTAAAAATAAACATTCCCTTTTCCTAGGGCACTCTGGGAATTCTGCCGTGTGAGGGAAATAGAGATCTCCTAACAATTCTCTGCACCCTTAACAAACTACGCTTCCCAGAATTCTCTGGGGGAAGCCACAGCTGTTTAAAGTGGCCCGATGCAGCTCTAAATGCATGGTACAAAAGGGGCCCCTGTCTGTCTCTCTGTCTGCCCTGAGCGAACTTGGAGATTGGCAGAGCGAGCCACACAGGAGCGTAGGCAGCAGCTTTTGACAGCTCAGAGGAGCTGTTTCCGTTAGCAGCTTGATCCCTGACAGCAACTAACAGGCAGCTGGGCTTGCATTTTCAGAGGACCCAGCACAAGCCACCTCCGACTATGAAACAAACAACAGCGACAGCAGCGACATCTTGCAGAATGACGACGAGACGGAGTGCTCCAAGGAACGGGAGCGCGTGGGGTCCATCTGCAGGACGTACGCGCCAGAAACGATCATACTGCATACTCTGTTGCCGCCTGAGGTATCTCATTCACTTTTCTGCCTGTGTGTTTCTAGCATGCCTGTTGCAGGGGGGAAGGCACTGCCTCAAGGTTTGCAAAAGTAAATAAATAATAATTTTCCATTTGGATCACATCTCTGTGGCTGAGCCACACTAAAGGTTTCACACTCAATCCATAACATCTCCACTTAAGGTGTGGAGTGTGGGGCCACAGGCACAGGAGACAGACGCAGCCATCAAGACTCCCACCAGGCCACAAGCCTCAGTGGCCCTTTGAACTGCGATAACGCCTCTTGGTCATCTGGTTGAAGGACGGGCACTTCTAGGTTTAACGTGGCTGGAATGTAGCTTTTGCTATTATTATTATTATTATTATTATTACATTTGTACCTCGGGTTAAGTACTTAATTTGTTCCGGAGGTCCATTCTTACCCTGAAACTGTTTTTCACCTGAAGCACCACTTTAGCTAATGGGGCCTCCTGCTGCCGCCTCGCCACCGGAGCACGATTTCTGTTCTTATCCTGAAGCAAAGTTCTTAACCTGAAGCACTATTTCTGGGTTAGCAGAGTCTGTAACCTGAAGCGTATGTAACCTGAAGCGTATGTAACCCGAGGTACCACTGTACAAAGCTGGGAGTCTGTTGCTCCGCCTACTTTCTCCTCTGGCCCCACCCGCTGCTGACCTGGTCCCCCCAAAAAAGTTGCCCATAAGGGAATGTGGCCATTAGGCTGAGAAAGGCCCCAAATAATCTTCCTTCAAGAGAAGCTCAGGCAGCAGGTGTCCTCTGAGAGCCACTACCTGTCAGAGTTAAAGGTAAAGGACCCCTGGACGGTTAAGTCCAGTCAAAGGTGACTATGGGGTTGTGGCGCTCATCTTGCTTTTAAGCCAAGGGAGCCGGCATTTGTCCACAGACAGCTTTCTGGGTCATCTGGGCAACATAACTAAACCGCTTCTGCTGCAATGGAACACTGTGACGGAAACCAGAGCACACGGAAACACCGTGTGTTTATCTACTTGCATTGGCGTGCTTTCGAACTGCTAGGTTGGCAGGAGCTGGGACAGAGCAACAGGAGCTCACACCTTTGCGGGGATTCAAACCGCCGACCTTCTGATCGGCAAGCCCCAGATGAATCAGTGGCCTGAACCAACTGGTATATATTTTCAGGGCTGGTCCGGGCACTTTCTTGTCAATTTTTCTGCCAATCCATGCTCACAACTGCTTCATTGGGAAGAGCTGCTGTGATTTCTAGGCCTGCACTCTTTTGGTTCCTTTGAATAAGGAGTTAATTTCACAGACACCAAATGCTTCATTGCTTACTCCTGACTCCGGCTCTTGACAGAGTGGAGAAACTGCCAAGGGAGCCCCTTCTCCCAATCTCAGCACCCAAAAGGGTCTGTAGGGAAGGAGGCAGTCTTTGGGGCCTGAGCCATTGAGGGCTTTAAACACTAAGAGAAGCACCTTGAGTTGTGCCCCGAAACAAACTGGCAACCATTGCAGCTTGAAGCTCAACATTATTCCATGAGTGCTTATTATTTCTTACTATCTTCCCCTATATTTCCAACATTCAGGCTGTGAGTGCCATTGCTTATGTTGCCCTATGCAAAAGAGGGTGGTAACAGCACACTCAAGGAAATCCAAAAGTTTGTAGATGTGCAAAAAATTATTTAGGGTGGAGGAACGCTAAGCATGGGAGACTCCCTCTCCTAAAGAAAACCCAGTCGGTTAAAGACTGAGTATGTTCAATGGCCATGGAATGCTGATTTTGTTAGGGGTGGTGGTAGGGAGATGGACAACCATGGGGAAGAGGGGGAAAAGACTAGGAAGTCTGGAATCCTGTACAGAAACTCCCCACACTGCAATGTGTGTATAAACTCTTATTATCGCCATCCCATATCTCGTTGTACTCAGCTAGAGAGAGTCAAACTACCCTCTAAAGAGATGAGAACTCCCATGCAGCTTTCTATTTTTGATGGCACAGATGAAGAACTCCAAAACAGCAAAATCCATTAGAAAAAAAATTAAGTGAAAATCAAACGTATCGCACAAACCAAGAAAAACATTGGGAGATGGAAAGCGAAGTGGAGCAGGGCTGCTGCGAATGATTGTGCAACAAGGTGCAGATGTGGCCTAAATTAAGCTCTTAAATATCCACATTTGGCTCATAACTAATAGCCCCCCAGGGGGTGGTACAAAAGAGTCCAAGCTGAAGATTTGAAGAGAATTCCTCACTGCCAAGGGCCCACCCTCCAAACCCTTCAAGCCAGTTTGATTTCTTTTTTAAAAAGCAAATAACTTTCCCTCATCAGATGCTAGCTGGTAACTTTCACTTCCAGCTCAGTTAGCCCTGTAAACCAGGGTGAAGAGCTGTTTGCAGAAAGCATACAGTTGCAAGCATCTACACAAGAGTGGAAATCTGTGCCCATCTAGATATTGCTGGACTACATCTCCCATCATCCTTGACTTTAGCCATGCTGGCTGTGACTGATGTCATGGACTGGTTCGGTACGGAGTTGCCCAGCAGGCACTATCAGGGAGGCACTGACCGGAGAACCCCCCAAAGGAACAAGGCTCAGAGCCAGGGGATTGGTGGTGGGATGACAGTGAGTGGTCCGAGGGAGAAGACTGGGAGGAGGGGGTGTCGGAAACAGAAGAAGTAACAGGGTTTAGTGAGAAGGGAGAGTCTGTGGCAGAGAGAAGTTTAGAAGCAGGAGAGGAGCAAAGAGACAGGGATGGGTAAGGGTGGTGAAAAGTCACAGAGGTCTCCCCCTACTGCTGTAACAATCTCCCCTTCATCCCTGGTCTGCTAAGACCAGGAGAGGCATGAAGTGGGAAGAAGCAAAGGCAAACATACCAGCATAGTCTCAGATTGCTTGAAAAGGAGGGGACTTTGGCAGCTGTGGAAAAGAAGGAACTTTAGTCTCCGTAAGAGTTGCTGTGGTCATTAGGCCTGACATTGCTGTGCAGATTGTTTTTCTAATAAGCAGTTAACTTGTGTGATTTACTGCCGGCTCGTTTCTGACAGCTGATGGGAGTTGCAGCCAAGCAGCTTGTGGAAGGCTACAGGCTTCCTCACTTCCTCACCTGAAAATCTCACGCAGTCGTGGAGAAACTCTTCCCCTCCAAGGAATATGCTGGTGAAGCAAACTTTGACCCCCAACCTCTGTGGGTCAACTTTGACAAGTGGGCAACGCTGTCCAGCTATCAAGTCAGCTGACTCCATCATAAGGAACCTGCCCACCTGTCAAAGTTTGCCCCCTGTGGCGATGGGTAGATAAAGTTCTGGTCCGCCAGCTCAAAAAGTCCCCCCCCCCCGCTTGATCCCAGCCAACCTGGGATTGATATGCGTCAGTAATAATGGCACAGTGTGTTTATTTAGAGAGGGGCTTAGTAACCCATGTTTTTTGCAGTGTTTTGGTAACCTTCAGAGCATGTGTTGTTTCTTGATACAGGACAAGCCTATTCTTGCCCCAGAGCCTCTAATAATGGACAATTTGGACCCTCTTATGGAGCAGCTAAACAATTGGAATTTCCCAATCTTCGATTTGGTAGAGAAGATAGGCAAGAAATGTGGTCGCATCCTCAGTCAGGTAAGGAAGTGTGCATTGCAGACTTGGGCTGGGGCCTCACCTTGGGTAAAGTGTGTTCCTGGTTAGGGGGAAGTACAAGAACTGTGATCCACAGCTCTTTACATGCACAGAGCTCCCACACATAAAACAAAATCACCTGCTTGAGTTTAGGGAATTCTTGTTGCTCAAAGAGAACTAGGTCCCACCGTACCAAATTGAAATCCTGAAAGGGGAGGACAAATGTCTTTAAGCCAGTGTGGTGTAGTGGTTAAGAGCGCTAGATTCTTAATCTGGTGAACCGGGTTCGCTTCCCCGCTCCTCCACATGCAGCTGCTGGGTGACCTTGGGCTAGTCACACTTCTTTGAAGTCTCCCAGCCCCACTCACCTCACAGAGTGTTTGTTGTGGGGGAGGAAGGGAAAGGAGAATGTTAGCCGCTTTGAGACTCCTTTGGGTAGTAATAAAGCGGGATATCAAATCCAAACTCTTCTTCTTCTTTATAACTATGGTTGCTATTTAGGAAGAGTAGTGGGGGTAATTCCCCTCTCCTTTATTGCAAACCACATGATATTATTTCTTGCACTGCATCTATTTTCTGACCAATTTGCAGACCCTGCCCCATGGAAGGAAACCCATGTCCCTTCAAATGTTGCTGGACTGCAACTCCTGTCATCCCAGAATATTCCTGATGCCGGCTGGGTCTCATGGGAGTTGGCATTCAGGGATATCTGGAGGAACACATACTTCCAGCTTTGTTCAGCACCTTCTCTGCTTGGCGCTAACCATGGTTTACTCAAAAACCAGTTCACTAACCATGTTTACAGACTGTGGTTTGGAGCTGTGTCAGGGCAGATGCTAAGTTAACCTTGGTTAGTACCGAAAGAAGGAAAGGAGATGGAACGTACATGCCAGAGGAAGGGTGAGGTGCTAACCATGGTTTGGAGATTGGGAAGCATAATATCTGCACTTGGCCCAAATGTGTGAGATCAGACCAGGCTTTTGAAATGGATGCATCCATTTATTTAAAGCCTAGAGAATTAATATTTGTGCTTCCTGATGCAAGAAAAAATTAAACGCCTTGTGATGGTGCATAGCAAAGGACCTCTGGGGTTTGGAGTGATTCATTCTTAGCTTTCTGCAATTTGCATTGCCTTCCTGATTTAAACCTAGTGAGAGGGAGAAAGAAATTAGCGAAATGAATTACCGATGTGTGCCACATAGCCTGAAATTTATGAAATGGAATAAAGAAGAGTTGACATATCCCCTACCCCCTGGGGGAAGCATATGCCTTTGGAAAGCAGAACCAATGGATCTCCTTGAAGAATATTTGAGAAGCCATCTACGTACATTAAGAGGGATGCTAAAATGGTCTAGATTTCTCTCTCTCTCTCTTTTTAGAAGTAAGCTAAAAGCATCCATCTGTGGTGCAATAGAAAGCACTCAAACACAGCACCAGCAAATCACAAAATGCAACAGACAATAATTCATGCAAAGGGGTTGGGGGGAGACTCTGGACTCAGAATGGAAGAGCAAACCCTTTCTAATCTGCACTGCAGTTCAGTAGCAAGCTGTGTGGATGGGTAATGCCTTAATTTATGACTTCCGTTTGCTTAACGGCAACCCCTGTCGGGATAAATCAGGTTTTGCTTGGAAAGGAGGAGCTGGAATTGAAGGCTGCAATTAAGGGAGAGAAAGACCAGATCTGGTTTAAAATTAAAGCTTCCTTCCCCTTGCTACATCGGTCAAGGGATCGAAAAACAATATATTGGGCAGGGGATCAGATTCTAGGAAAACCAGTTGGGATGCGGCTCCAGGAGGTTATAGCTGCAAATGAGAATTTGGGAGGTGTTTCACGACCAGCCCTGCTAAATAAGAGCTATTAACGTCCGTGTCTTTGCGCACAAAGAAATTTAAGCAACTGAGGAAGGTGTTGGAAAGCGTTGCCTTCCTGTCATTTGGTGAGAGGGTCTATTAAAGTTTTCTGGGAGCAGCTGTGATGGTGAGAGCAGAAACCTTACTCATTTCAACACATTATCAGTAGCGTTGCAATACTTATTTTTGTTGCTATTAATGGATCGTTATTATGTTCAATAGCAGCAAAACATAAGAACACAATAGGAGCTCTGCAGGACCAGGCCAAAGGGGCATCTAGGCCACAATCACACCTAGTCCAATCCCCTGAAACACAGGAATCCAGCTAAAGCAACCACGACAGATGGCCAATGAGGAAGCAAGTGTCTCCAAGGCACCATCTGCACCATGCATTTAAAACACTTTAAACCAGGCTTCCTCAAACTCCGCCCTCCAGATGTTTTTGGCCTACAACTCCCATGATCCCTAGCTAGTAGGGCCCAGTAGTCAGGGATGATGGGAATTGTAGTCTCAAAACATATGGAGGCCCAAGTTTAAGGAAGCCTGCTTTAAACCGCCATAGCTTCCCCCAAAGAGAAGTTTGTTAAGGGTCCCAAGAGTTGTTATGAGACCATCCCTTTCCTGTCTCAGAGTAGTTCAACCATCAGTCCAGGAAGTTGGAGAGTCAGTTCATGTGGGAATGTTCAGGGAGGCAGGAGAAGATATATTGTTTTTTAATATCCTTCCTAACTTGTGCTAGCAAGTTCTATAATTGAGCAGAGTTTTAGCATTCCCCTTTAAGCACACAGTGGGTAGCTGGTTGCAAGCTTGTTTAAGCTTCTCACTATAGCTTCCTGGTAAAGGTAAAGGGACCCCTGACCATTAGGTCCAGCTGTGGCTGACTCTGGGGTTGAGGCGCTCATCTCGCTTTATTGGCCGAGGGAGCCGGCGTACAGATTCTGGGTCATGTGGCCAGCATGACTAAGCTGCATCTGGTGAACCAGAGCAGCGCACGGAAACGCCGTTTACCTTCCCGCTGGAGTGGTACCTATTTATCTACTTTCACTTTGATGTGCTTTTCGAACTGCTAGGTTGGCAGGAGCAGGGACCGAGCAACGGGAGCTCACCCCATCGCGGGGATTTGAGCCGCCGACCTTCTGATCAGCAAGCCCTAGGCTCTGTGGTTTAACCCACAGCGCCACCCGTGTAAGATCCCTTATTTCCCTCTTAAAGTAGTTTACTCACAGCACCATCAGTTCACAGATGGATCCCTGAAGGCAGACTTAGTTACAGATACATACATGTGAGTCTATCCCATAAGGAGATAGTCTCTTTGTCCTCTGCTGGCTGAAAGCCAACAGGGCATCTCTAGCTAAAAAGCTACTGGTCCAACGACGAAGTCCAAAAGAGGGAGGGAGTGGCTGCGTGCTTTGTGCTTTTGTTACCTGCACAGGTAAGGTCACGTCCACCTCCAGTCACATGCAAAGGGAGTATGTCCCAGCCAGGAGGAAACAGGAAGTTTTCGACTGGCTGGTCCAAACATCCCCTTGCATGTCCACTCTAGGAAAACAAGGAATGTTGCATTTGTCTGCTACTTATGTATCACAGTTCACAGGGAACTGTGCCATTGTAGCTCTGTGTGGGGAACGGCGGTCTCCTAAGAACTCTCAGCACCCTATAGTGCAACACCTAGAATTCTTTGGGTGAAGTCATGGCTGCTTCAACTTGTTGGGATCATATGGGTACAGGGAGGCAGTGATGGCCACCGACTTGGATGGCTTTAAAAGAGGAATGGACAAATTTATGGAGGAGAAGGCTTATCAATGGGTACTAGCTATGACAGCTATGTTCTTCTCCCATGGACGAAGGCAGTAATGCTTCTGAATGCCAGTTGCTGGAAGCCACAGGAGGCAGGGGGGGGAGGGCTCCTGTGCTTGAGTCCTGCTTGGCCATTGTGAGAATAGGATGACGGACTGGGTGGGCCATTGGCCCTACCAGCTGGGGCTGGTGGAATCCAACAGCATCTGGAGGGTCAAAACTTCCTCACGCCTGCCTCACAGGATTGTGAGTTAGATTGTAGAGATGAGGTTAAAAATGAAGCTCTTGAAATGGCTAGAGTTCAAAACAGAGGAAGTGGCTTGCAGGCTATGATGGAAAGTATTCTGGTCAGACCTCACCTGGAGTACTGTGTCCAGTTCTGGGCACCACAGTTCAAGAAGGACACTGACAAACTGGAACGTGTCCAGAGGAGGGCAACCAAAATGGTCAAAGGTCTGGAAACGATGCCTTATGAGGAACGGCTAAGGGAGCTGGGCATGTTTAGCCTGGAGAAGAGGAGGTTAAGGGGTGATATGATAGCCATGTTCAAATATATAAAAGGATGTCATATAGAGGAGGGAGAAAGGTTGTTTTCTGCTGCTCCAGAGAAGCGGACACGGAGCAATGGATCCAAACTACAAGAAAGAAGATTCCACCTAAACATTAGGAAGAACTTCCTGACAGTAAGAGCTGTTCGACAGTGGAATTTGCTGCCAAGGAGTGTGGTGGAGTCTCCTTCTTTGGAGGTCTTTAAGCAGAGGCTTGACAACCATATGTCAGGAGTGCTCTGATGGTGTTTCCTGCTTGGCAGGGGGTTGGACTCGATGGCCCTTGTGGTCTATTCCAACTCTATGATTCTATGATTCTATTCCACAAAGGCCTTTGGAGTTGGTGTTGGAGGCCATATTCTGTGTTGTATAGCAGTGTGGATTCTTCCATGCCAAGCTCTGTGTTTTACAGTTACTTCTGCTCTGTTTTTCCAGGTGTCCTACAGGCTCTTTGAGGATATGGGGCTATTTGAAACCTTTAAAATTCCCATGAGAGAGTTTATGAACTACTTCCATGCTTTGGAGTGTGGATACCGAGAGATACCTTGTAAGTATTGTCAGGAGCTCAGCCTACAGTCGAGTAGGACTCTGGCAGAGACACATGCCCGACTGGCATGTTCCCTCCCTCCTGGTCTATCGTTGGGGAACTTCATAAGCTTTTTTCTGCCCGAACATCACAGCGACCGATGCCAACCAGACACTGGGACACTTAGGGATCCGCAGAGTCTTCGCAGCTTGCGTAACAGACCTCAGCAACTCAGCATTTTGGCTAATCTACTTTATTTACATATAAACACACACGGAGCACTGCAACATGGCCCCTCTCTCTCTAGCATCAGACAGCAAAGAGAGAAAGAACAAAGGACAATAGTCCCACTTCACGGAACACAGTAATACAAACATCCTGTCTCCGTCACTTCCCACTCTGTGGAGTCAAAACATATCATGTCATGTGAAAGACAACAATCCTATGACTGCAATCATGGAGCAGGAATTCTAACAAGTATGACAGCAAGAGTGCGATACTTGCTGATTCCTGTTTTTCCGTAATGAACCTTCTTTCAAGGCTGAGAGTGCCTAAGGCACAGCACAACCCCCCAAAATTAAATAATTTGAATCCAGAGCACGTCCAATAAAAATGCCACAGAAACCTATAAAACTCAGCTAAGTCCTGCTTAGAGTAGACCCACTGATATTCCTGTTAGTCGTGCCCATTAACTTCAGTGAATCTGCTTTGAACAGTGTTGCGTATAGCCCCAGATCCATAATGTACACAGTAAAACTTTCACAGTGCGGTGTACATGTCTACTCAGAAGCAAGTCCCATTGAGTTCACTGGACTTGCAGAGATGGAAGGTGGCAGCGATTTCCATTCTGTCTTGTTGTTGCTGCATTATTCATCTCGCCACCCACTATGGCCAGAACTAACCAAATTAAATATGTAATGAATTTCAGTGCATTTTCATTGGAAGGGACATGTTTAAAATAATGCATCTGTTCCCCAGACCTGGGGTCTCCCACCCATTCTCATGCACAAGGCTTTCTAAATTATATGGAATAATGAATGATACTTCACTTTACGATTGGGGATCAGAGTTAATGGTGTGGTAGCCCATTTGTGGACAATACTGAAGTAGAGTACAAACCAAAACAGATCAGAAATGATAGCAGATGTCATTCTGCCTGCCCTTAACCACTGCCCACTCGATTCTCCCATCTTTTCATGTATTACTGAAATGAGCAGTGGTGTATAACTCACTTTGAGACAGGGAAGATTAGACACCAAGAGGACATTAATTTAGAAATGAATGGATTAACTTTATAGAATATATGAAGGAGCATTGTTAACATTGAAAAAGGTTAGCAGGCAGGTTTGGATTGGCACGTAATATAATTTGATAAAGGGTATTGAAAAAGGAGGTTTAATAGATTGGATAAAAGTATTTAGTCACAGAAAAGAGAAGAGACAATTATTGGAAACCAGGGAGAGGAGTGGGGGGAAGTCCGGGGGTCAGAAGAACCCCTATAAAGATATTGAATTTGTTATGGATTAATGCAAATAATACTGTATGATACACACACACACACACACACACACATTCATATAAAAACTCACTTTGAGAAGGTTGGAAACACCTGCAATTTTATCATAGCAAATGAATATTCCTATCCCCCTTCAGCTTTTTCCTTAGCTCAGCAGTTGACCTTAGTTCCTGCGAGAGAATTGAGCCACGAGCAGGGAATTGATTCTGTCTGTCCAACAGATGGTGCTGTTGACCCCCCCAGCAGAAGTAATCTGCCTCTGTCTTAACAGATCACAACAGGATCCATGCCACTGATGTTCTCCACGCTGTTTGGTACCTTTCAACGCAGCCTATACCAGGACTCTCAACTGTGATTAATGACCATGGGTCAGCAAGTGATTCAGGTAATTCTATTAGCATGCAATTTTGGGGAGCCCTTAAGCTGGTTTCTTGGCCCAGTGTCTCTTTCCGCAGGAAATTGTACATGTTTACCAGTTGCGTGTAGAAGAAGCACGTAGAAGAGGCTTGTGTTGGCCACTAACTTGGATGGCATTAATAGAGAACTAAACAAATTTCATTTTTCATTTCATTTTCAATTTGTATATTGCCTTTCTGTATTACTATACACAAGGCGATTTGCAAGCTGAAGAAACAACAAAATAGACAGCAAAGATTGCACGCCTAATGACAATCTGACAAAAACGTCATGATAAAAACATAACTTTCAAATAAACAACTTACATCAAGTAAAGCAATTTTCAATAATCCATTAGAATATGATAGTAAACAGTAAAATTAAATATCAGCAAATAATAATTAAACAGTTTTCACTTAACAATTACAATAAAGAATTACTAAACTATGATCAATAAAAATAGCAATGCATAAAATACCACAATACATACAAAACCATGTAGGATCAAATTGAGAAACAAGGACACACAACTTATAAAATTATCTTTTAAAATATACCTGAACTCATGGAGGATAAGTTTATCAGAGGCTACTAGTTCTTCCTCCCTAGTCACTTCTTGTGTAATGGAATAACCAGACAAGACAGCAGCATAGGGAGTTTTGGGTTCAAATAGGCCACAACTTTGTTGGTTACAGATGGGAAGGGTTTGGCATAGGCATTGGGTGAAGCCATTTAATTTCCCCCAGCCCATCTGCTGGAGGTGTATCTAAGGGTAAACCACACCGTAGCTGGACTAAAATAGGGGTACCCCCCAAGGGGTTTCCACTGGAGTTCTGTGGTCCTAGCCTCCGTCTGGGCATTGGATAGAAGCAACTCCTCATGGAGCCCTTTAACCAGGGAGGGTCAAGCAGAGGCTACAACCTCCTTTCCAAACAAGACTAAGGCTTAAAAGTAAAGGGACCCCTGACCGTTAGGTCAAGTCGTGGCCGACTCTGGGGTTGCGACACTCATCTCGCTTTACTGGCCGAGGGAGCCGGCGTACAGCTTCCGGGTCATGTGGCCAGCATGACTAAGTCGCTTCTGGAGAACCAGAGCAGCGCACGGAAACGCTGTTTACCTTCCCGCCAGAGCAGTACCTATTTATCTACTTGCACTTTGATGTGCTTTCAAACTGCTAGGTGGGCAGGAGCAGGGACTGAGCAACGGGAGCTCACCCCATCACGGGGATTCGAACCGCCGACCTTATGATCAGCAAGCCCTAGGCTCTGTGGTTTAACCCACAGCGCTTACCCAGTGCATAACCACCAACTGAGCCAACCAAGGCTCTCAACCGCCCAACCTCTCATGCCCTCAACCAACTCCTTATGCCCTCAAAAACTGAGGAGGAGTGATGGGCTGGTCTCAATTTATTCCCCTGGGGGTGGACCCAAGAGATGCATGAGATTGCAAGTGCCCAGAGTTCTCAGTTGCTGGTGCTGCTTTTTGGGTGTGGGTACTGAACATCATGGGAAGTAGTAGATTTGCCGCTGTGATGATAGATAGATAGATAGATAGATAGATAGATAGATAGAGCGGTATAGAAATATTTTTTAAAAAACAAATGAGCAATGGATATGAAACCGATCCAGGTTAAGCATGGCAACTGGGCACAGAACCGAACCCTGGTTGTCCCCGTTCCTCACAACAAACTCAGCAAATGTCCTGGTTTTCTGCTCAGATTCAGATAGCGGGATCACTCACGGCCACCTGGGCTACGTCTTGTCGAAAACATACGCACCAACAGACGATGGCCATGGATGCTTGGCGGGCAACATCCCTGCCCTCGAACTGATGGCCCTTTATGTAGCTGCTGCCATGCACGATTACGACCACCCGGGGAGAACCAACGCCTTCTTGGTTGCCACCAGCGCTCCTCAGGTAAGGATGGCTGAGATCGACCCTGCCTTGGGTCCATAGAATTGACGCTTTGACAGAATTCTCGTAAGAGTGAATCTCAAGTCAGCTGTGAGCCCTTGTTCAACAAGCCACAGCTTGTCCACACACGTCAAGGCCAGTCAGTGCTGGTTCAAACAAGCCGAAACCAGTTCTATCCTGCAACACATTCCGCTTTAGGATACATTTTTAAAAGAAAAACCTGATTAGCTTCTCAGATACTTTTTAATTGAATTACTTTTAAAAAAATAATGCCTCAAGTAACATATTATTGCTTGGTTTCTTGTTTATTCTCTTATATTTTGCAACACCCATTTGTCCTAAATAGAACCCAGTAATGCAGACATGTATGCACAATTTTTTTTAATGTGATCTCATTGAGATCCCAAGATGAAATTTTGCAGGGAGCTCTTAGTAATATGAAACAATATATTTTTTTGGATTTTTTAAAATCATAATGGTTTTTTTAAATCACTTTTTAAAATTTTGTAACTTAACTTTAAAATTTAAAGTAAGTCCATCATGGGCCATATTGCATTAAAGCAGGGGTCGGCAAACGTTTCCACCTGTGTGCCAGATCACCCGTGCTCACGCGTGCACCCATGTGCATGCGCACACTCCTGCTCTTTGCCCGCTGGCTTTTGGAGCCATGGCGGAGGAGGGGGAGGCATCTGCGGCTTCCAATTGGCCGTGGCTGCATCCCAGAAGTCAATCCCCGTGCAGAGCTAAACAGGTGCGCCGCGCCGGTTTAGCTCTGCACGGGGACTGACCGAGCGGGCGGCAAGGGGCGGGGACCAGTTTAACGACCCCCTCGGGCTGTATCTGCCCCGCGGGCTGTAGTTTGCCAACCCCTGCATTAAAGCCCATGAAGTTCTGAAGAGATTGGCATGTTTAGTTTTGAAATACCTCAATTATCACTTGATATGGAATGACCCGTCACTAATCAGTCAGGGGCATTTTCAAAGGGGACGCCCATTGCCTGTGTGTGAATGTGTTTGTTCCCTCTCGCTCATGACTAAATCAAACAGTGTGTAGAGAGGCATCTTTAACATTGTTTGCATTTTACCCCACTTCTTCTCCTTTGCCTCTGACCCTTTGACCCTGAGGTGGTTGGCAGTGTACAAACCCATCCTTCAGGCTGAAAGAGGTTGTCTGTCCCTTCACAAGGCCTAGTTAAATACCAGGAGCTGGAGGGGATCTAAGCAGAGTCTCCAGAACTTGGATAGACCCTCAGTGCTGTATGTGGCCCTTTATGCCTCTCAGGGGCTAGTAGAAATAAAATAAATTGTGCCAAACTGTCTATCCTTCTCTCTGTTTAGGCTGTTCTATATAATGACCGTTCTGTTTTGGAAAACCATCATGCGGCGGCTGCATGGAACCTCTTCATGTCCCGGCCAGAATATAACTTCTTAGTCAACCTCGATCATGTGGAGTTCAAGCACTTTCGGTTCCTTGTCATTGAGGCAATCTTGGCCACTGATCTGAAGAAGCACTTTGACTTTGTAGCAAAGTTCAATGCCAAGGTAAACTTGATTCCATGTATGTCCTTTGTGCTCAAACCTTTGTATATCCAAGTTGGCTGGGGGAAAGGTAATGGTTTTATCGTCCTAATGTTTTGCAAGGATGGTGCCCCAGGAACAATATCATGTGGTTCTGGGACTTGAATCAACAAAAGGTGATTTCCATTATTCAGTTAGAAGTTATGCTGCTCAAATCTCATGTAAATTCCCATTTCCACTCACTGCAGCCTGAAATGAAATTGGGGGCACTCAGTTGTTTTGGCCGTAAGACAAAGAAGTGTTTTGACCACCCCTGACTCTTACAGATACAGCAGGCAAAACGTTACATGAATACAGTGCACTGTCATTCAAGTCCCAGCACTTTGATGGGTAGAGAGTGAGCTTCAGGTGCCAACAGATGATATTTTCCCAGCCAACTGGCATTAATACCAAACTGTGGGTTAAACCACAGAGCCTAGGACTTGCCAATCAGAAGGTTGGCAGTTTGAATCCCTGCGACAGGGTGAGCTCCCGTTGCTCAGTCCCAGCTCCTGCCAACCTAGCAGTTCGAAAGCACATCAAAGTGCAAGTAGATAAATAGGTACCGTTCCGGCGGGAAGGTAAACGGCGTTTCCGTGCGCTGCTCTGGTTCGCCAGAAGCGGCTTAGTTATGCTGGCCACATGACGCCGGCTCCCTCAGCCAATAAAGCGAGATGAGCACTGCAACACCAGAGTCAGCCACGACTAGACCTAACGGTCAGGGGTCCCTTTACCTTTACCTTACTTGGCATTAGATGTTGGATCCGCTACAGCAACTCAGATTGGAAATCAGCAACAACAAAGAAGGCTGTGCATTTCTAGCACATAGGGAATGTCCCCAATTTCCAGCTAGTTGGGACCAAGGATGCATGTCCTGCCTTCAAAATGGCAGATTTCGAATCTGCATGGGCAGGAGTTGACAACACATCACATCTCCTTTTGTCTCAGCAAACACGTCGTCCCCCCCCCCCCGGTTCACAATACTGTTGTACCTTGGAAGTCAAACGGAATCTGTTCCGGAAGTCCGTTCAACATCCAAAATGTTCTTAAACCAAAGCGCGGCTTCTGATCGGCTGCAGGAAGCTCCTACAGTCACTCGGAAGCTGCGGAAGCCGTGCCAAACATTTGGCTTCCGAAAATCGTTCGAAAACCGGAACACTCACTTCTAGGGTTCGATCATTCGGGAGCTGATTTCTTCGGGAGCCAAGGCGTTTGAGATCCAAGGTACAACTGTATAGGAGAAAGAGTTTCCTGTTCCTGTTCTTTTCCTGATCTCACAGTCCTGGCCTCTCCTAAACTGAGCCCAGCTCCTCAAACATACCTGTATGTCCCTGGATGCCAGTATTGGGCATTCACCCTCCCCTCCATTCTGAACAGAGGAGAGTCCAAAGAGCAGCAGTTCCTGATGTGAGTGCCATTTTCCCATTTCCTGGGGTAGGTAAGGGGCACACCTGCGCTGTTTTGCAGTCCTGACTCTCTTTCTGCTCTTTGGTGTTCTGCCACTCCCCCATGGCAGCCCTTCTGTGGCAGGCACCCATGGCTGGCACATTCTCAAAATTCCAGACATGCCCACTGACTCAAAATGTTTGCCAGCCCTTGGGTGGATTGGAGCCAGAGCCTCAGTCAAATATGCTGGTGAGGACAGATGCTGCTGGATTTGCTTAAGTTAAGCTCTCTAAGTATATGTGTGTAATGGGAATATAATTTATGTAAAGCAAATATAAGTGATACATCAGTCGCCACCCCGACAATGCTGTTCTGTGCAGCTGATATTGCATCCTCGTTCTCCAATTGTTTCGCGTTATGCGTGGCTGCGACGGTATCGCACCGCTCACCTTAGTCCCGTCTGTCTGCCAGGTCAATGATGACGTTGGCATTGATTGGACGAACGAGAATGACCGCTTGCTGGTTTGCCAGATGTGCATCAAGCTGGCGGACATCAACGGGCCCGCGAAATGCAAAGAATTGCATCTGCAGTGGACGGAGGGCATTGTCAACGAATTTTACGAACAGGTAACTAGCAATAAGTTGTTGCTGGAAGGAGCAAGGGGACACACAAACCTCTAGGGTATGGGGTTAGGGCAGTGGCTCTCAAAGGTTGTGGCGCATCACCCTGGTGTGGCAGGAGAGGGTGGCAAGCATGGCGGGAAGATTCAGGGACAATCAAACATTTGCACATTTCAGTGTATTTTGGGTGCACAGCCAGAAACTATATGTATGCATGCCTCTCTTCAAGAGCATTGGCTATTCCTCTACAGTTCTACACAAATTATGGTTGTGAACAGGAATATTCAACTCTGACAAATACGAAAGATCAGAAAAGAGAAAGCCTTCTTTGTGTTGATGAGGAGATGAGAGTTGGTTTGTCCCAAATTAGACCTAATATAAATGAGATTACCTGGCAAAAGCAAGCTCACACCTCTCATTGAGTTTGCATACATACTTAAGGTACATATGGAAGAGGCTCACTTATAATTATATTTTGGGAATGGTTTGTGTTCTTACGATGTCCTGTGATCGTATTATAAATTAGTTGTGTTTTGTGTTATAAATCAAGCACTGCTGGGAGTTGCTTCTTTTTGTTTTCCAATGTATTTATCTATTTTTAAAAATGGTGTTGCATTTTTTTATTCCATAAGTGTGGCCCAGAGAAAAAATTTGAGAACCACTGCGTTAGAGTTAGGGTTTGCTTTATCTCTGGATTACTCTGGATTACACTGCTTTTCTCTGCGGTTTGTTGGCGTCAGATAGGCACATGATCAAGTTCTAAGTGAGAGCTCCCTGTCGGGGGTTGTTGTTGTGGTGGTTGTTGTTGTTTTTAAGAAGGTCTCTGTCTTCACTTTGTTGGACTCACCTGGTGAGAGTCCCGGGTCAGGATGGCAGTGGGAGACCCAATGTGCATTTCTGTTCTAAGGGATCAAGATAGCATTATAACAGACTTCCTCCTTTTTCTAAGGGTGACGAGGAAGCCAGCCTAGGCCTCCCCATCAGCCCTTTCATGGATCGCGCCGCCCCTCAGCTTGCAAACCTCCAGGAATCCTTCATCTCTCACATTGTGGGACCGCTGTGCAATTCCTATGACTCAGCAGGGTTGATGCCAGGGAAGTGGGTCGAAGATAACGATGAGTCGGGCGATACTGATGAACAGGAGGAGGAAGATGCTGCAGACATGGACACCTATGAAAACCCCGAGTCAAGTAAGTTTGTTATTTCTGTGTGTGCTCGCTCCCGCAGACTCAACACCTTGGGTTTTAACCCTTCCCTCTTCCCCTGCCATGTGGTGTTCCTAGTTAAAAGTCCACTCCCCACCAAAGCTGGTATTTGCCCTAGGGGGAAATAAGCAACTTCAGTTGGTCATTTTAATTGGGGCAATGGTACAAAGGGGAGAGGTTTATTGGTGTGGTTTTTTTAAACCCTCTTCCGCAGTAACATACCACATGGATGGCAGTCCTACTGTGGCTGTGAAGACCCCTCTTCCCCTGCATTCGAGGCCAGATGAGCTTGTACATAAGCACCTGAGTTGAGGGAGGCCACAGCTGCTGGGGAAGTCCTTCACTTGCTGCATTGGGCAATCACACACACACACACACACATACATACATACATTTATATGCCACCTTTCCACAGTTAACCATGCTGAAGGCAGCTTACAACAAGAATACACACACACACACACACACACACACACACACACACACAACTGCAACGTAACAAAAGTAGTCATCAACAATAAACAAAATATAAAAAAATACACAACCAAACTGGACAATTTCCACATAAATTACAAGATCTAAAATGAAGATACAAAAAACCAACAGCAACAACAGGGAGCAGGTCCTATTATTCTTACTAAGTTTGTATACCACCCTTCACCCCAGGATCACAGCACTGTTCACAACATAAAAATACAAAATGAGAACACAAAATATATAACAAAGCAAACCAATAACAAACACACACACACACACACACACACACACACACACCAGTCTTCTGGAGCGGCTCACAACCAATCACAGGACTAGACTCCATGCAAACAGTAGTGGTTGGCATGGCAATATTGCTCACTGTGCTTCCCAACCCTGCCTGTTACCAAGAGTGGAAGGGGCAGATCACAGGGAGCAAGGCAGAGCAGCGGAACCAAACTCTTGCCTCTGTCCCAGCTCCACGTTGAGCTTCCTGCTGCTCGCACTTCCCCCTCTGCCTCTCAATAACCAGCAGCGATGCTCAGCTTTGGGAAGCCCATTGAGCACCAATGCGCTGCCCCACCAAATGCTACGTATGAGGAGCTGTGTTTGGGGAGATGTACATAGCTGCTTCAGCCCAGCTTGCATTATGAAGTGCTTCTGATGGGGAAGGACGAATCGGTTGCCTTCATAGTCTCCCTGTTTCCATTTTTCAGACCTTGAATTCAGTTCTCCTTGTTTTCCGCATCAGTTTATGGGGATTTTAAAAAGAGAGAAAAGTGCTCATGAAAATTCATCAGGATTTTAGTGCAAATTTCTCCACTTTTCTTTTGCACAGTTTTCCCTAACATGCACAATTTTACAAATGCATTTTATTGGCTATTTCCACTAATGCATGCAGAAATGCACGTTTTGCCCAGTAACGTGTGTTTTCTGTACACATTATTTTGCTACAAAAATGCATTGCAAAATCCGGAGACGTGCAAATTTTGAAGGATTAGAGCTGTGTTTCAGTTTGTGTGTTGTTTCAGAAAGTGTGAATTAGGTAGGTTCACCTTTAAATGCAAACTGAATCACATTTCTACCACTTTCCTAGCATCTACACCATACACTTGTTGGGCAGAGACTGAACCTTGCCCCCCCCCCTTTTCTAGTTTATATTTTATTTTCCTGTTCTCATTTCATGAGTCCTCCCTAGAGGTTCTCCTTTTACTGATTTTCAGTAACCCGAAAAAGATAAGCTGTGCAAAGGAGGACATATTTTCTGGTCCCTGCCTACCCATCAGACAGTTACTTGGGCAAACATTCATGGCTTATGACTCTGTAATGTAGCCCTCTCTCTTTGTGACAACATAGTGCCAGATGGCACTTTCTCCTTAGTACATGGGAAACGTTGGCCTAGAATCTCTTCCATCTTCTTCCAAGTTCAGTCGGGCATGCCACCAACAAAAGCTCTCAGTGGAACTCAAAAGGTCTACGAATTCCTCTTACTGTATGGCTCACGGGTACAAAAAGAGCAGAATTCTTAGTTTTCAGATACCTGGAATTATCAAGAAGGTCTAGCAGAAAGAGTGGGTTTTTTTAAGAAGGGAAATAGCTGAGCCATTGCATGGGAGCATGATGCCCCAAACAGTGTTAGAAACTGAGGTACAAAAGCTAGGAGCTACATGGCACCTTAAACCTAGGTTATGGGTGCAACAACGGAATGTCTAGGCTTGCTTTCTTACAACAAGAATACATGAATGAACTGCAGCTAAAATATTATGTTCATTTCTCACATGGTCTAGTCCTTCCCCTGCCCAACCCCCTAATATTCTTAAGAGGGTCTCTTCTCCAGTCTTCAGAGAGTAGCTGGAAGTGGGGAGGCAGAAAAAGGTCCTCCTTTACTTCCACTCTGCAGTTTTAATCTGAAATCTTAGGTGCAATACTGCTCCCAGAGCTCAGAAACTGCTTGCGCTAATGAAATTCCCTGTCGCAAAATGCGCCTGGGGGTTGGGCTGGGCAGAGGATAGTGGAGACCACCTCCCCATCCTGACCCTTCCAGGGAGGAGGAAGAGGAAGACAGTATAGATTTACAACAGGGGTATGCGGGAGGTCACAGCTCAAAGGCAGATGAGGGAGAAAGTTGGAAAATCATGGGAGAGGAGCAGCAGCAGCAGCAGCAGCTGGGTGACATAGTTTCATTAGAAAGCATTCCAGACCCTCCATCTCCCAGAATCCAGCAAGCCTTAAAAGTAGGAGATCAAAGAGCTCAAAGACAGAGGGCTCTTAGCAGCACCCATAGAAGAGGTGATGATGATGATGATGATGACGAATGAGGAAGTGGGAGAGACAGGGTGGAGATTCACTCGGGACGACACCATTCTCCAAGAGGCTGTGTTCTATAGCCTCTCTCTGTAATGTCTGAAATAAAAAAGGACTGTAAGAAACTTTTCCTTGTCTTTATAGTTTCCTGGGCAACCAGCCGGGAGCCGCTGACAGCACTCTGACACTAGAGCAATGGAAGTTTCAAACACTGCCCCCAAAACACACAAGATTGTGGCAACTAGAAACACACATTTTGGAGGGGGGGCATTGTGCTCTCTCACAGGTCACATGACTTGCACAGGAGACCACCCAGAAGATGCGCATCCTGGTTTTGTGCTGAGACATCAACATTTCCAAAAGTAGGGGATTCATGTTTCCTGCTTGGCAGGGGGTTGGACTCGATGGCCCTTGTGGTCTCTTCCAACTCTATGATTCTATGATTCATGGCTTGGCTTTTGAAAAACAGGGTCCACAGTTCTTAGCTGGGTACCACTGCTCTAAGCCCCAGACACCTCAATGTGTCTTCATAGGAGAGTTCCTCCATTCCCTTGAAAGGCCCATCTTGGTGGCCCTTCTCTGAACCTTTTCAAACTCTCTACAATATCCTTTCTGGGGTGAGGCCGCCAGAACTGTACACAGTACTCCAAACGCAGCCACACCTGCATAGCAGCATGGTGCAGACTGGCTGTTTCATTTTCAATTCCTCTCCCAACGACCCCTAGCATGGAGTGTGCCTTTTCCACAGCCGCTGCACGCTGGGTCAACACCTTCCTTGAGCTACTTCTGTTTTGACCCCAAGATCTCGCTTCGGGTCCGTTGCCTCCAGTTCAGACCCCAAGACCCCTCTCTCAGTTCTTGCATTCCCGATGCAACCCCCTGACCTAAAAGCAAATGAGTGCAGTTGCATCGGTTAGCCTGATTAGGTTTGCAGTGGTTCCGAGCAGAATCTCAGGTGGTGATAAATGCTCTAATGACCTCTGCGGAGAGCTGCAAGTCTCGGGAGGGTGGCGAGGGGGGGAGTGTTGTCTCCCGGGAAACCAGGGATAGAATGTTCTAACACGGAGCGCTGTGCGGAATACAGTTTTCTCCTGATTAAACCTTCAGGTTTCCTACAGGGGAGTGAAAGCTTTCTAATGAAGGATTGAACTGGATTTGGGCTGTGCCACAGTGAAAAGCTCTTTGTTTGCCGTTGAAAAGCTTGAAGGACTCAACGGTTTGGCTCCTGACACACACTTAAGGCCACCTGGAAACGCTAATCTATGCACACATTTCTTTGTGACAAAACATTCCTCTACGTCATTTTTTTTCCCCTCTTCCCCACCGGCTCTTCATTAAAACCTTGAAGAGGTTCATATCGCTGAAGTTTGTAGCTGCTGCTGCTAAGGATAGGTGATGTGGGAGTTTGCAAAGGAGCAACTTTTAAGTGTTTGTTTTGCTAAGATTCTTAGCTTTGAGAACTCTTGCCACTTCAGCTCAGTGGTTCTGGAGCCCAGAGTGGATACGTTTGCCTCTGTGGCATGAGAAGGTTTCAGCACACAGTTGTCTCGGGAAACCTCCACAAAAGCATGTGGGATTATTATTTGTACAGCACATGGTTAATTTGCTCAAGTGGTACAGATCAGTCAACTGAACTTTTGATTTGATAAATCAGCGGTGGCTGGTTTTAATTGGTCAGAGGTTAGGGCAAATTGTAATACGAAAACGAAAATATTAAAAGTCTTAATATGTTTTCTTATAGCATTTATTTATTCATTTCATAAAAGTTACATGCCACTTGACTATAATAAAACCTTAGAGTGGTTTGTAAAAAGAATGGAACAGTAAAATAAGTTAATAAACAAAACCGGTGTAAAACAGCTATTTAAAACATTCAAAAACAGATACAAAAAAACCAATAAGATGAAAACCAGATTAAAACATGTGTCGGCGTTCTACGTGTCTATAGGCTTGCCTAAACAAAACAGTTTTCATCAGGTGCCAGACAGAAACAGTGAGTTGTCAATAGGCAGGGAGTTCCACAGTGTGGGGAAATGAGCAGTAGTGTTTGATAATTAAATCTTAATCTATGTCTAAGTGGCTTCAATACAGCCTCAGCTAGCCTGGGCCCCTGCAGATGTTTTGGACTGTATCTCCCATCATGGGAATTGTAGTCCCAACTTAGCTTGGAGAAGGCTACTTTAGTACCTATGGTGGGGTACTATGATGTGCACATTTTTGTAAATTTGTTCAGGTCACAGCCACACCATGTGCTTAAAGTACTGTCTTGCCACTGGAATAATCATGGACAACCCTGAGAACTGTAGTTTCTTAACGGTGCTGGGAATTGTAGCATGGTGGGTCAGCACCTTTTGCAAACTGCAGTTCTCAGGATTCTCCATGTGGCACAATAGGGCTTTAAATGTACGGTGCAAGTGTGACCTCGATTGTAAATAAAAGGGGGGGGCACAGAGAATGAGGAAGCGGAGCCACACCAATAGCTTCCCAGCAGGTGGATCACTGTTGCTTACTGGGAGGGTTGGGGCTGTGGACAGGTTGATTTTTAAAGTAATGTAACCATGCTTTAAATTTATGGTGCAGATAAGGTCTGTGTATGGGACGCAGGTGGTGCTGTGGTTTAAACCACACTGCCGCTTGGACTTGCCAATCGGAAGGTCGGCAGTTCGAGGCCCTGCAACGGGATGAGCTCCTGTTGTTTGATCCCAGCTCCTGCCAACCTAGCAGTTCGAAAGCACGCAGTGCAAGTAGATAAATAGGTACCGCTCCGGCGGGAAGGTGAACGGCATTTCCGTGCGCTGCTCTGGTTTCGCCAGAAGCGGCTTAGTCATGCTGGCCACATGACCCAGAAAAACTGTCTGCGGAAGCGGACAAACGCTGGCTCCCTCGGCCTGTAAAGCGAGATGAGCGCCGCAACCCCAGAGTCGTTCACAACTGGACTTAACTGGCAGGGGTCCCTTTACCTTTAAGGTCTGTGTATACCCAGAAATGAGCCCTAATGTGCTTCCAGAGCGGTGTCCATTGTGGGGTGGGTGCTCTTGATTTATTCAGATTTTTTTGCAGGGTCCACACAATGGCATGGGCAAATGCTAAGCTATATTCTCCACCCCTACCCTAAATTTAATCTGGAGAAAATCCTGTAATGAAACAACCTGGTGACAGCGACCCATTTGAGATAGCTTAATCCATTTGCAATATTAAATCCCCATCTGTGAGCATAGGAACATAGGCTTTCTACTTTAGGTCTATCTAGCTTACCATTGTCAGCACCAGACCAAAGTAGAGGAGTGATGGACCTTGTCATTCAGCAACATTAGGAAGACCATACCTGGTCTCTGCACCCTTGACTTTCAGCTGGTGGGTCAGGGGAGCAGCTCCGCCAACGTGCAAATAAATGTCAACACTAGAGGCTCCCTGCCTATGTTGCTCACCGACACTGCAGCAACAACGATGGGAAGTGCATGAAGTCCTGCCTGGATTGGCCTCCTGGCTGCCTGCTTGCTCAGTCCACTGGACTATCTGCCCATTGGCTCGCTCAGCTGGGCCGCCTGCTTGCTTAAACTCTGGGCTTCCCTCCCTCTGCTGTGCGTGTGAGTGAGTGGGCAGGCAGGCGGTGGTGACGACAATGGCAGTGGTAACGTGGTAAGGCCCTTCTGCCCACTTGCTTGCTTTGTGTGCCTGTTTACTTGCGCCACCAGCCTGCCTGCTTCATTTGCCCATTGTTGTCACACTGCAGTTCATGTGGCCCCCTGCTGCCAGCCACGTGAACTGTAGTGTGATGCACGTTCCCACCTTGCATAAATATTATATAGTAAGAAATTAAGAAATGCTTGCTTGGGTTAAAGGTGGGTCCCGAGTCTAAAAAAGTTGAAAACTGCTGATTTACACTGATTGGCAGCAACTCCCCGGGGTTTCAGACAATGAATTTTCCCCAGCCCTGAATGGAGGTGTTTGGGATTGAGCCTGGGGCACTCTGCATACAAACAGATCCCATCTACCACTGAACTTTCCCTTTCTATTCGTACTCTGCCCACGGTTGCAGCTTAAGGCATCATTTTCCCCTGTGATGTTTTGCAGGGAAGAAGAGGAGGAAAATCTACTGCCAAATCACTCAGCACCTACTTGAGAACCATCAGATGTGGAAGAAAGTCGTTGCGGAGGAGGAACGGAAAGCCGGGGCAGAAAAGCAACCCTCCGAAGAGATTGAGGCTATAAAAGAGGAGGAGGAAGAAAAAGGGAAACCCAGAGGGGAAGAGGAAAGCAAAGCGCCCGAGACAAACCAATGACAAGGATAGGATGTTGAGCAGTATTTTGAGACAAGGATGACTTGCGCACCTGTTCCTTTTTACAAGCCAGCACAACACTTAGACACAACACTGTAGAAATACGGGATAATGCACCTACAGCTGTTTAAGTTGTTTCTCTTTACCTTTAAGCTCCTCCGCTCAAAGAAGCTTTCACACTGCAACACCAACTTTTACAGACTTTCGTATGGGATGGGAATATTAGCTTGGGTTTATCAGCTTCATTTTGTTTTCGTTTTTTTTAATGATGGCATATTATGGTAACTGTGATAACGAAAGAGAAAAGAAGGAGGAGAAATTTCTGCTCGCAGTGAAGGGAGTGGCGGTTGCCTTTGTTCTTCTGTCTCCATGATATGGCGTCAGTGATCTTATCCGTGAAATATTGGTTCTGTTGTGCCAGTATAGATACACATGCGGGGTGGTACGCATAGCATCCCTGAACAAATGGATGTGATGTTGCATTTGAGGCTGGCTGTGACACTAGAGTATGTTATCTCAGCACATGCACATAAGGTTCCGACCCCAGAATGTCAAGAAAATGGCTCCTGCATGGGTGTAAATTTTGTCTGCAAATGTGACCTCCTTATCTTTCTCAGCCTCGGGGAGCCTGTGTTAGAAGCACTCTGTCTTTCTTCTTCTTCCGCACAACTCAGAATAATTCAGGCAGGCATAAACCAGGGGCAGCTTTGGGCTCTGCAAAGCAAGGGCAGCCAATGGCTGGTGCAATCTTTTCTGCAGCTGGCTGGTAGCTCGTTTCCTAAAACGAGCATCCATTGGCAAGTTAACACTAGCTGTATTCACACCTGCAGACTGTACAGGTTTACACTGGATCACACGTACGCTTTGTACAAGTTGCAAATGGCCGACACCAGTCGTCTGCAGAAGGGAATGCACATCCAACCACTGGCGCTCATCCGTCATGTCCAAAGGTATTCCCAGTCTCTTGAAAGCGCTGGGGAGAGAGATTTGCATGGCCCTCTTCAATGCCTCCTTTGATAATAATCATATGATTCCAGATGTCTTGTGGGCTTATGAAAAAAGAGGCACATTGGCTGATTCTCAGTTTAATGTCAAGTAATGACCGAAGATGCTTGGTCACGGCTTATTGTGATATTTTCAGTTCATACTGGAATTTACAGAGAGGGTCATCAAACTTGGTCCTCTGCAACAGTGGCTTTCAGATTGTCTGTTTTTGGGGAACGCGTTCGGCATTGGTTAGTTTGCTGCAAATCATGTGTATATCGCTGGTAGTGAGAAGCAAGCTATATTTTGGGGAGAGTTATTCTTCCATTATGGATCTTCCCATAAAGCAGTGGTGGGGAACGTGTGGCCTTCCAGATGTTCTTGGACTCCAGTTGCCATCAGCGCCAGCCAGAGTAACCAGTGGTCAAGGATGATGGGCACTGTAATCTTTAAACATCTGGAGGGACATAAGTCTCCTTCCTTGAAAAAGCCATGGCAGATTTCCAAAGAGCCCCCGAGTTCCCCCGAAACACAGTTAAACCCACTGACGGGTTTAACTCTTGGCAGAAGCGCCTGTGGAAAGCATCTGTGCAAAAGTTGGGGGGGGGACTTTTGAGAGTGGGGTTATCTTTCTGCTCCTCTTTCAGGACAGGGATTAACCATGCTTCTCCTTTTCAGTGAAGGTGGTTTCCCATGTAGCCTTTGACGTCAGCTGGAAAAAATCTTACATAGAATCAGTTATAATTTAACTTTTCCTATATAGGTATGCTTGCAGGTCTACAATAATCTGGCAAATGCATGTATTAGGTTTCAAGTCCCCCTCAAAATACCTTTAAGGAGGCGTTGTGACTGGGTGGGTGGGTGCAGAACAGGTGTGGAGAAGCTTTGGCCCTCCAGATGTTTCAGACTCATACCTCCCAATGACCATGCTTGCTGGGGCTGATGGAAGTCGTTCAGAAACATCTGGAGGACTGACAGTTCCTCACACCCGCTGTAGAAAATGATATGAACTTAGGGGCCAAATGCACATTGTCAGTGTTTATTTTTTCTGTTCTCATTCTACTCACGGCCCCTAATGTTGATCATGTGGGGTTTTATTTTTAAAAGGAGGTTTCACTCTCAGTCTTTAAAAGCAGCAGGATGAGAGATGTGGAACCATCCAGGATCTTTGAAGTCAAAGGACCTTTGCAGTGCTTAAACTGAAGAGCACAGAGGCCTACCCTTTGTGTGTGAGAGAGCAGCCACTGGAAGTGAGGTCAAAGCATGTCATTCCGCAGCAAGGAATTAATTGGCAATTAATAGCTTGCTTAGATCCTCCTTGATCCAACAGAAGGATTTATTTATTTTTACTTTGGAATTCGGTTTGCTGTTTTGAAAAGCAAACAGAAGATCAGGTCTTCAGCAATATGGTGTTTTTTTTGGTCGCTTAACTGATTTCTTTTTTAATCTCCTTGTCCATGATTTGCTTATCTATATGTAAATATGGAAATGCCTTTTGGGTCTTGTAGATAATAAGGGGGAAGAAGGGTGGGGCATTTTTGTAAAGATAATTTAAGAAAAAAAAGAAAAAAAGCTATTTTTAAAAAATAAAATGTAGCCATTTGCTCGTTCGACAAATAAGATCTTGCATAATTGGTAGTGAGACTTCAGCATCAATCCTCAGAGGCAGGTTTTACCAAGGATAACTGAGTTTCAGTATCAAGAGTCTAGCCATTGATCACTGCCCAACTTGAGTTTCAGTAGCACTATATGTGGAGATGGATCTGCTTGCATAACTTAAAAGTGTGCTCAGAAATTGTGCCAAAGTTAGTGTGCCAATCCTGAGATGAGACCCAGTACCTTAGGTCTTGTGCATGATGCTTCTATGGTGGCTATTTACCTGCCTTCTTTTCCCAATCTTGCTTCTCAGTGGCCTCCAGGTACCACACCTTCAGGATTACTAGCATCAGCTACCATGTGCAAGTTAAACATTTTCCAGGGAAACACATCTTCAGCATCTAGAGTCTAGTCGTTCAGTGTCCTTGACTTCTTTGTGCTAGGAAAAAGTTAAGCAAAGGAGAGGGAACTTGATTAGGGGGCTGTTGTCTCTCACACTGTTTCAGGCCACATCCTCACCCAATTTATAGCATGGTTATGTTGCTTTAACTGTCACAGCTTTGCCCATGGAATCCTGGGAACTGTAGTTTGTTGAGGGTGCTGAGAGTTGTTAGGGGAAACCAGTTCCCCCTCACAGAGCTACAGTTGCTGGAGAAGAGGAATTGATTGTTGAACCACTTGGGGAATAGTAGCTCTGTGAAGGGGAATATGGACCTCCTAACAACTCCCAGCACTCCATAACATACTTCAGTTCCCAGGAATGTTTGAAGGAAACCATTGCTGTTTAATAAAGTATCGTAGTATAACAGTGCTTTAAGTGAATGGATGCAGATGTGGCCTTAGTAATGTCCTGTAAGTGGCAAGAGTAGACCAAAAAATAGAGATTGAGGTGAATCACAGGAATGACCGTCTCTGTACACACACACACACACACACACACACACACACACACATATTTTTCCTCCCATGGTTGTCCCCGAAATGTAAAAGATAGATGTCAAACACACGTGTTGTATAAATGCACTTGTCAAAGAACTGGGATTAGAGCAGTCAGGTTTGGCGCAAGACATCTCACTTCCTGAGGCAAATGGCAAGATGGTGCCCTCCCTCGATTCCATAGACAGAATCCAACTCAGCTAGTAGTTTGATCTTTCTTAGGCGCCACCTTGTGCCACCTTGTGGCCTCCTCCACCAAAACTCAGGTCAGCTGGATAATTTAGCAGGTACAGCTTTGTTCTCCAATAGCTTGCCACCACTCCTCATCTCTTCCCCCCTCCCACTGCCTCACTTTACCTCATAGTAAGGCTGGCCCCAATGGTGACTTCCTACTGAGTGTGCCCTTAATGTCCGGATTTGTCGATGTGTGAAATGACTCTTATTTCAAAACTTAAGAATCCCAGGCCTGTGATTTATATGCCAGTGTGATTTCATGATCACAGGATCAGCCGTTTCTGTGATTTTTCTCAGTGCTTATCCTTGTCCCTATTATGGCCTCTTCGCCCTTCAAGGTGCTTATCCTTGTCTTTGTTTATGGCCTCTTCGCCCCTCAAGGTTGAATCTGGCTGTATTTTCAGCTAGCTTGGCGCTGTTGTGGGAGAGGTTGTTTCTCTGCCTGCTTCCTGTCTTCTTGTTCCCACAATTCCTGCATTCAATGAAGCCCTTCTTCTTTTTCAGGAGTGCTTGCATTCTCATATTATCCCGAATTTTCTGGCCTCCTCTAGTTCTTTTAATACAACTCAAAATTGCCAGGAAGTCTGGCTTATGCACCCAAAAGTTTGTGCCCAGCACCCTCCCACCCTATCTGTAATTTGAGGACCAGATTTCTGGGAAACCCATGAGGCTCCCTTGGAGGGGAACTCCAAAGTCCCTTCATGCACAGAGTGTTACCTACACAGCCCTCTGGGTTGGTGGAAGAGAGTTGGGGAGGGTTACCATTCTGTGCTAAAATGCAAGGGTTGCTCTGAGCTGCTGATATTTTACAAAAATAAATAAACTGTTAACCTCACCAAGCATGGGTTAAACGAAATGCTTGTGGTCAAAGGAATATTCTTCTTCACAGTTTTCTCTGAAGCGCAATCAGTGACTGCAGTCCAAACTCATATCCCAAAAAAATTAACCAAAATTCCAGTTCCAGGGTGTGTGCATTTTTTGTGGGGAGAGCTGTGTGTTTTGCATAACCTTTCTGCGTATCGTGCCCAAACACATTTCTCATGGTGTCCGGAAGCCCTTGAATGTATTTTGGTAGACTCGCTGGGCCTTTCTTCATCAGCATGATTTCTTTTGCAATAAATGCACAGGTCAACAGTTTGCATGGCTTGCAACCCTGAAATCACAGCTCAGAGCTGCCTGTAGCTTCACAGTAATTGTTTTAATGGAGAGACATTCCTAACTCTGGGCCCCTGCCTGCTCCTAAAAACTCGCTCTGCTGGAAGGCTCCTGGGAATCCTTAGGTGAGCAAGAAAGAGAATATTTGAAAGGAGGGAGTAATTTTGGAAGCAGGGTAAAATCAGAGATTGTCTTTTGCCAGTGGTGGTCATTAGAACTAGATCTGCTTTTGTTTCCAATGTGCTGTTGGTTTCTGTAGCCTTGGTGTGACCGTTTCTAACTTAACTTGACAAGCCTAACCTCCTTATAAGCCTAAAGTGTTTCTGAGTGATGAGGATCAGGAATGAAGAGCATTTTTCAACCCAAACTGATGAGAAGAACGCAACAGTGATGAAGGCAAAAATAGACATAGTTATATAATAAGATCCCTGCAGGATCAGTTGCAGAGACCAACTAGTAGTAGCCATTGATAGCCTTGTCCTCCCCTAAATTTATATCACAGTGGCTGAGTGGGGATTTGAACCCTATTCTCCCAAGCCTTAGTCCCAATCCCTTAACTGCTACACCACACATAAAATGACATGGCATGGTTGCAGCTCCCACACGGCCCAGAATTTTTTGTTCCTTGGTGTGGCGGATTGATCTTAAAGTATCCATTTCAGGATAAGGACTAATCCTTTGGAAAATATTGTTATGACACACTTACAGGATTTTTGGTTTCGGTTTTGTTTGGCTGAAAGGAATATAAGTGGCTTTATCAAACGCCAACTCAGTTTTGCCCTTCATTGACAATGCTCAGTGGGAGAGATTTCGTATATGGTGTCGCTAGGAATTGGACACCAAAGAGCTGTGCCGTTTTCTGGTTCCTTGAAAATTTGGGTGTCTCCCAGCTGGCAAGCACGATTCCAGCATAATTAGCCTTGGAGCTGATGGGATTTTGAACTCAGATGGTTGAACAGGCAACACGAGAAGAGATCGTGTAATTTCAGGGCGGGGAATGGGTGTCAAAATCATTTCCACCTCACTCAAACTCTTATGTCTGCTTTTGAAACTCTCGGCCAAGTTCCAAATCTGCACTGAATTATGCACTGAATTTGGGCCCGGCTTAGTTACAAATTAGGAAGTAAGCCCTTCGGGGCAGTCAAAAAATTCAGCATGCTTTGTTTGTTTATATTGCTAAAGATGCAGTGGACATTGTTAGAGGAAAATTTGGACTGAGATGGAAGGAACTGTTGCATCCAGGCAATGAAACTGTTGCTACAGGAAGTGCTAATGGTGGTTTCATACCATCATGCATGTTGATGGAAGTTATGAACAGCAGAGCCGGCTCTTTCATTTGGTAGAGTGAGCAGGCAGGTGCATTCTGGCTGTTCCTCGTAAGCCTCCCCAAACTGCTCCCCTCTGAGGAGGACAGGCCACACGGCCTGTTTTGGACCCTCTCTACGAATCTACTCTAGTGCCTCAGGTATGGTGGAGAACACTCTCCTCTGGCCAGCATCGAAGCAAGATTCGTCTGCCAGCCCAGTCAGCTTCTGAAAGTGGAATGGAGAGCAGGGCGCCATCTTGACCTTCACCTCAAACAGTAAAATGTCTTGGAAAGTAAATTGAAACAAATAGAAAAGCCCTTGCAGGTAGGTGAGTTCCATACACACCTTGGAGCTCCAGCCTTCAATCAGGTTATAATTGGATTAGAGCATCTGAATGTGAGCGATAGAAGAGTTGTGGCCTTTGTATTTCAACTCAAATCTCAAGCATTTGCATTATCTGAACCTCTGGTTAACCAGTCCCAGTGGCTCAAATGTTATTATTCCTGATACTGCCTGATCCTATTTTACTGGAGAGGCCTATTAAGAGAGGAGGTGGTGTGTGGAAGGCCAAGGTTCCAGCCTACCCACAGAAGGGATCTGCTAGGCCTCTTGTCTCTGTTTGTCAACTGGAAGTCCCAGATGTTGCTACTCAGAGGGTCAGCTTTGGCCCACAGGCTCCTCAGTTGCCAATTCCTGGCCCACACCATTTTGTCCCAGGCATGCCTTTTCATATGCCTGATCCCTGCCGATTTGCTTGCGCTCGTTCTGGTGCACGGCATCCACACCAGGTGATGCTTAACCATTTGTTTCCCAGATGCAAGCACATAGCCTCACGACGTTTGCATAATCGCACATCCTCACGTTTGAAATAACATTCTGCAGCTACGTCCAGCTTTGAATCCTCCGAGGTTAAAAATGGTGCCCTAGGCAACCCTTTGAAAGATGATTATGTACTTGACTGTCACAAGACTTGAAACCGATTCCTTTGTTAGTGCAAAATTCACATTGGAACAAATGGGTGTGCACTCCCTGTAAAAACATTGCACGCCCATTTGTCTCCCCAGCGAATCATTTTGCTTCCCAACACTCGAGGTGTGGAGCGCCTCCTCTGAGCTGTGTCTGTTGATGACACAGGCTATGTTTTCTAATCAAGCTGAGCTTTCGGCAGACCGTGGCAGTCCTTGTTTATTACATGTTAAAGAATGCATTCTCAATGTTCCATTAGATAGGTTTGCACCTTTCTTTTTTAGAAGAGTCCTTTTGCAGAGTTTACGGGCGCTAAAATCTTGCAGGTTTTCCTCTAAAGCAATATCTCAAGCTATCCACTTCTTTTTTAAAAAAAGAAGAAAACTACGAAAACATAAGGGCATGATCCAACCAGAGTTCAGCACT